ACTGAATTTGCAATCATTTACTAATATCAGGACATAGGAGCATGCAAAATTACAGTTTTGGTTTTCTGTTCCTTATGAAAGAGTTTGTTGCAGAAGTCTTGCTCTCTATAATAATCCATGCTCTGTTTATGCCTTGCAGTGAAGTATGTTGAGGCTATAATTGAGTAAAAGCATGTATTCCACTTAATTATTCCTCTGTGGGACAGTCTCTCTCTCTCGTCTCAGCATGCTATTTAACCGAAGCTCGCCATCCTGCCGCGCCACACGCTCTTAATTCCGTGGAAACTGTCGACATTAAATGAGTGTCTTCTTTTACTTTGCATTCTTCACTCCATTTCCCCCCTGAAGTCTGTACTTGTGACACACCCTCAATCTCCTGAAACGTATCCCATTCATCCAGCAACCCTCCAGACTTTTCCTGTCTGGCATTAAACTCTGTGTCATTATGGTCACCGTGACAACAGATGAGTCAGATGCTGTGGAGACGCCTCACTTCCTGTGAGTGCAGAGTATCTTAGGCTGTGAGCGAGTGATTGACTGAAGCAACGTGGGGGAGTTCTTCCCTAAAGGCTGAGTCATAATCGACAGGATCCAATCCTCATCTGGGACAGTGTAGAGTCAGAGTGCAAATATATATTTGTGCTCTTTGTAGGATTGATAAAAAAACAACTTTCAGAGTGACTCAACATGAGAGGTGTGGTTTCTGTGTTGTGTGTCTGTATAAACGTCTGTGTCACATCGCTGACACCACAAATGGTGGTTTTTCAACCTTGTGACCCCATTTTCAGGCTCATGACTCCCACAATTACAGCTGTTGTCATGTGAAATTGAGCATGCTATGAGTTGAGCATATGGGAGTTCCGAATGGATTAGACAATATTGTTAAACTACATTTATTTTACTTTCCCAAACTATTTATCTTTTCTTACACAAATAAAAAAAATATCATCAAGCCACTGGGCGCTGCTGATCCCACGGTTGAGAAACTCGATTATAAATCACCCGGCACTGCTCATGCCATACATACACAGACACTGACTCAGCCAATGTAGACATGCGCACGCATACGAGACGCGTGCGCACACATTGCATACAGCCGTGAACACATGTTACAGTACTTACATCAGTTTTCCTAAACTTGGCTTTAAGGCTCTTCATGTTCAGTCCGGTCCATGCAGTCACTCACTCAATCACACAGTCAAGGCTGTGAAGAAAAAAAGAAATCCAGATGTTTAAACTCGGCCCCAACGATGTTTACTCCACGTTCAAATGAGATTTAGAGTTTCTGAAGAGACTAAACTACCTGACGTGTGTTGCGTCGCTGCACACAAGTTCCAGTCAATGTGAGTAAATGTGCAGCGCAGCATCAGGAATGTATAGTGACCATGATCTGTTTTTTTCTGATAAAAACTAAAAAGTGCTTCTCATTAAAAGTTAAATTGTTTTCATGATGATTTGAACACAACACTCCAAACTCAAGCTGTAAGAAAGATGGGGAACTTTTACAGTTAAAGCTTATAGTAGATACTTTTTGGGAATGCACTAAAACACATGCATTTCTAATTTAAACCTGTTTCTGGAAATGGTATCCAGCTTTGGATCATTTCCTACAGGGATGTTTCAAATCCCCACAAAACCCATGGGGATGTCTGGTGACTGTATATTTGCACTGTAAGTGAAATTCCTAGTTTTTCATTCCTGAAAACGACCTTGTCAATGATTTGGTCCCCGGCGAGAGTTCCAACCACAATTAACCTACTTACTTCATTATTATTGTTTCCAGGTTCCTACCTGTCTGCTTGTATTTCAACTGAAAGTATAACATTTAGACTTATTACCATGAGGACTGGTAGTTTGGTCCTTAATGGAAAATACTTTTCAAATGTTTGCAAACCATTAGTTAGAATGAGAATTGAGTTTGACTGACATTAGAGGAGGTGGTTTGTGTAGTAGGCGGGTATAAGGGAATAAGTAAATATCAATAACTACTGTAATAGAATATTCATCAATAGTAATATAACAAAAGTCCAATATCGATATAATGCGTAAGTGTTGTGCAAACACAGTGAGGATGAATAACACATTACTGATCTACCTCTGATTCATTAAATGTGTTGCTGTTTCTCAAGTGTTTGTCATTTTCATTAATAAGATTAAAACCATCACTCAGAAGAAAACAATCTGACCTCAAACTTGAAATAAAAAAAATCAAACAATAATGCAAAGTGTGATATTTATCAGTATCGATTATCAATATCGTCCGTCCCTACACAAGGACAGCGTTCAAATCAATAACATTAATACATTTCCTAGAACATAATTCAAATGTAAATAGCAGCAAGTGACAGGACTTAGCATGCACGTCCCAAACCATAAACAAGAAGTGGTAGAACACCTCTGCAGACATCACAGTTAACAGTCATGATACAAATATCACAGAAAGAAAGCAAAGTGAACTGAGTGAGTAACTAAACCAGTGACCTGCATGTGTTCCTCCTCAGACAGGGAGAGTTGTGTTTGTAGAAGTACAGAAACTATGAAATGCGCGCGACCTGCATCGTTGTACACAGAACACTTGAAAATCAGATTGATCCCTTTGTAACTGCGCCGCGGGACCGCGCACCAGCTACTTGTTCAATGTGCCGCTCGTGAAGCTTCGAGAGAATCAAACATGGAGAAAACCGCTCGTGGAGCAGGAGGTGCACCCCGAGGACCTCACTCTTACCCGGGTTAGAGAAGCAGGAGAGCGGGACGCGCGCAGGACTCACCGCCGCTTTCTGAGCCGAAACCACATTAGCCACCGAACCGGTGAGAAAGCCGCGAGCCGCCGGCGAGAGCCACACCGAGCAGGAGGTGCACAGAGCGGGAGAGCCGACACAGAGAGCCCCGGTGCGGAGCTACACGCTGACCCGGCTCGACTCAGCTCGGCTCGCATACATTAAAAGTTGAGCTGTCCGTGGACTGACTCTCTCTCTCTAGCTCTCTCTCTCTCTCTGGCTCTCTCTCTCTCTTTCTCTCTCTCGCTCTAACTCCCCTTCTCTCTCCCTTTGGCTCTCACTCTCTCTCTCTCTCCCTCTAGTTCTCTCTCTCTCTTCCTCTTATTCTCTCCCCCTCCCTCTTTCTC